AATTTTAGTTTAATGCAATGTTATAGGTAATAAACAAATCAATAAGTTAAACTAATCTTCTAAATCACATTATATTAAGAATAGTTAAACAAGATTAAAGTAAAATTTACGCAATAAGTAATGCTGAAAATAGTAATAAATTATATAAATGCGACTTTGAAAACGCAATAAACTTTAGTGAGGGTTGAAGCTTGGACATTAGCCTTGGAAAATAAAAATAAAATAGAAAATTTATATCTAGATATATCGACAGCTTTTGACACATTTCACAACTATTTCCTACTTCTAAAATTAAAAGCTTATAGAATAGATGACAAACTCTACAATTGGATTGAATGTTACCTAATAGATTGTTACAGCAGAGTATCAGTGTTGATGGTACTTACTCAGAATAGATAATAGTAAATAGTGGGGTGCCCCAGTATTTACTTTTATGATATATATTAATGATTTTTCTAATTTGGTTTTAAATGTTGTATCTGTATTTGCAGATGATACTAAGTTATACAATTTTATTTCTGATAGCTCACCATGCAATAACCTGCAAAAAGATATGGACATATATACTCATTGATACAAATCTCAATACTTCAATTAATCTTAAAGACTCTCTGGTCAATAAAGGCTTTGGGATTTTCGTTGACTACAATTTGATTTTTCTCTTAATTTGTAAGTACAAGGAGTAACACAACCGATAAAATTGTTGAAATGATTAAAAGATCATTTGTCAATCTCAATATCTTGACCTTTCGTACTTTATTTATTTTCCTTGTTCTTCCTCACCTTGATTCTTGCAGCTCTGTTTACAATCCTAGGCTTTAATTTTTTTTTATAAAAAAATAATTAATATGAAATTAAATTTCAAATTAATTAATCACCGATTAATTTTTATATTCATTTTTTTAGTGTTGTTTATGTCCACTTTATTTTGGTTGTTATTTACACTTTATTTTAGTGTTCCAGAGCTGAAAAAAATATTTATTGATTAGATTTTTATGTTCATTTTTTTAGTGCTGTATATTAAAAACACTTTATTTTAGTGTTCCATATATGGAACAATATATTCATTCTATATATAGAATGAATATTTTTTTCATAGTTATAACATATATTTGAATGAATAGAATGAATATTTAGAATGATAGAATGCATAGAATGAATATTTTTTTCATAGTCATAACATATTTTTTCAAAACAACATAGAATGAATATTTTTTTCACATATATACTACGGCTATGGTTGCCTTTACTACGGCTAAAGAGCCGTAGTAAAGGCAACCATAGTAAAGATAAAAATAGTAAGTAAAATAGCCGTAGTAAAGATAAAAATAAAACTACGGCTAAAGAGCCGTAGTTTTATTTTTATCAGTGTTAACACTGATAAAGGTAAAACTTTAACAATTATTCTTAACTCTTCCTTAATGTCATATTTTAAAATGTTATGAAAATGAAACCTTTTACTAACCAATAATCAAACTCTACTTGAAATAAAAAGCGATTACATTTTACATTAAGAAATGAAACTCAATAAATTTTAGACTAATATTTTCAGTTAAAAAAATAACAATCTAAAAAAAAAAAGTTAATCTGAAGTTTTTTTATATTATATATTTATTTGCTATGATTTTTTTAGGTGTTGTACCATTAAACTGAAGATGGCAATTTGAATTTTTTAATTAAAAAACAACATGTGTGCGATGAATCTAATCTGCTTTTCGTGGTTGATGAAAAACAGATTAGATTCATGTATTGGCCAAATCACTTGCAAGCATCTTGCAAGTGATTTGGCCAATACACCTTATGAATCGATAGTATGTATCAGTGAATTGGTATTAGTTAATAGTTTTTGGAAACAGTTTCATGTACTATTAACGTTTCTAATTTTTAAAATATATGATACATTCATATGAAACATATTAACAAATGATACAATATGATACATGATTGATTATAATTATGTTTTATATAAATGCCTATTAAATTTTGTTTTAATTTTTATCTTTTATGCCCAGTTAGCAATGTATTTTGTGTAGCAATGACTAACTGTAGCAAATGATCTCAGACATCTATGACATTTTTAGGGTGTATTCACCACAACTTTTTGCTCTTGGAAAATTTTATACTACTGTGTAATTGTGGTCAAGGGAAGGAGAAGCTCACAAACCTGTATGAAATTCTGAATGGTATTCTTTCTAGTGTTAAATTAAAAAAGTTTTATAAAAAAAATTAGTTAAAAATGTAAAATTGTGACGGTTCATTAATATAAAACACTGCTTAAACAACATTCACGCTATTTTTATTTATGCCAGCGCATTTATTGTTTTTTAGACAGCTTTAGGCATTTCGCAACTCACTTATGCTTAAATTTACTTCTTTTATAGATGTATTTAGTTGATTTCATATAAGATTCAAAGTTTGAGGTGTTTTTTGGAATTTTATCAGCTAAGGTTAGGCCATTATTTAGAAAATATTTGTTTAGCATTTTAATTATGGCTTCTTTATTATAAATCATTTCCCCATCAACAAAGAGTTTTTGTGGCAAATTATTTTTTGGACATTTATTTTTTCCCATTATCTGCTTAATCATATTCCATGTTTTTTGTGTGTTTTAATTCATTTTTATATTTTTTATGTTTTAAATACTTTTCTTAAAGGTTTTTTTTTATAAAATAACTTTATAATAAAAATTCCTAAGATTAAATGTTTTATATTTAATAATATATAATATTTTTCGCATTTATATATAATATTTTTCGCATTTATATTTATATAAGGCAATTTCGCCGATTGCTTTAACCATTTACTAGCCACTCTTTAAGCCTTGTTTCTTAAGTAGCTCTAGCTGTATTACAAATATTTAAACTCAATGTCTTCAAAAAAACTGAATTAAACTTTTCAAAATTGACAATATCATTTGACCTAAGAGTCTTCCCTCAGAAATGCCAGAAACTACACGTAATCATCCTAATTAACTCATTCTTGCTACACAGCAGCAGTGTCAAATTTTGCGCCTGCGCATAAGAGATATTGCGTTTTATGTATTTTTTGAACCATACATTTTTTAGTAAACTAAAAATTCCTTTTTACTTCAATAACAAGTATGTTGTTTTTATGAAAAAAAAAAAGTTTTCTCCATTCCTCAATATTGCAACATAACTAACTCGTCAGTATGCCATCATAGGAAGAAGTCATCATTTTCATTTAAACAAGCTATGTCTGCCTTGTTCAAAAGATAAAATTAAAGGAGGAGTAGGAGCATCATAGGAGCAGTAGTTGCCTATGATGGCATACTTGTACTTTTTTTTTTTAAATAGAATAACTAATAAAAAAATAAAACTGATGAAAACTCCTAAAGTTATTATTGTTTTACATGTAACAAAGAATATATGCATATCAAAATTTTTATTCTTGGTATTCAGGATACTGAATAATGAAGCTTCAAAGTTAAGTATGCCATCATAGGCGCCTTTCCCCTATATTACATTGGTGTCACACTGGTAAAAAAGCGGTAAAATCAGGGTTAAACTATATGTCCGAGGCTACCCTCCAATTTTGAAACATGTCTTTTTTCTAACATTTTTTCTTTTATGTTTTGTATATTATTAAGATACACCATAATTATTTTTTCGTTATGTTTATTAGATTTCGTTTAGACTCGATAGATGAATGTTTGAACTTTTAAAAAAAGTCTTTTGACACTTTGTTTTCTGTTAGCACATGTGTACAATCTGTATTTTCCTTAAGTGTCCGGGGCTACCCGACTCTCCCCTATATTAGGGCCCTTCGAAGTTTCGAAATTTCAAATCGAATCAAATAAAAAAAAATTCGAATCGAAATTCGATTTGAAAATCTGCATATTTTCGAATCAAGGTTTCTTAATATACTTTCAAAATTAGTGGTTGCTAACCATTAAGGTTTTTTTTTTATTAACCTATTCTGTCAGTCGCTATAAGAAAAAAGTTTTTTTTAATAGTATATTTGTTTTTAAGGGGTTTTCCCATACAGTATGTAACGATAAAAATAATTTTTAAATTAGGTAAGATCTTTTGATCTCTTACGCACAAAAATTTCCATTCACTTAAAGCGCTATGTTACTTTAAAAGAATCAGCGCAAGAAATCAATAATCGTCTACTTTTATTTAAAAGGATACACTGTATAAATGACCCCTAAACAGAATTAAAACTCAACTTTCAATTATAAATTATAAAATTGTCGTAACTATTCATTCCAACGTTTTTAAAACTCCACCGTGATGCTATAAAAAGAATATACAACTAAAGTTTTAATTTTTGTATTTTATTTCGAGGAGAGCATTTAAATTTAAATACATTCTTTTAAAAATTGTGTTCGTTTAGATAAAGGAATCAAAAATTATTTAGATTTGTCACTCGTTTATTACTTTACTTGTGAGACAATTAAATAAAAAAACGTTATTTTTAAAATTGACTTTTGATTTCATATACTCTTTTCATTTCACTAACTCTTTCAAATTACTATATTTCAATTTATACAATGGTAGGAGATATTAAGCCGTACTTTGAATTCAAAGATCAGTTTTATTTATGTAAAACGTGCAAAACCACTTTACGCGTACAAAACACTGGCACAACATCACATCTTTGGGGTCACTTGGAAAGAAAACACAAAACACTTCATACTTAAGCTAAAGCAGAGCGAACAAAAAAAAGTAAAGTAAAGAGAAAGCAGCAATAAAACAAAAAAAAGTAAAGTAAAGAGAAAGCAGCAATATTAGCTGTTCAAAAATCCATCAAATATGTTGAAGGGAGATATCAAGTTGGCATTCCCTGGAGAGAAGGATTGTTAACGTTAACAAACAATTACAAAACAGCACTAAATCGTCTAATACACACAGAAAAGAAACTTATGAAAAATAAAGACATTAGTATAAGCTATTCAAACGTTATAAAACAATTTCAGGAAAAAGGATATATTCGACAGTTAAAAAAATTAGAAGTTAATAGTGATAGTTGGTATTTACCTCATTTCCCTGTTATTCGGATAAACCATCAGACTACGAAAACACGACCAGTATTTGATGGATCAGCAAAGCATAACGGATTGTCTCTAAACGATAAAATTCGTCAAGGTCTAAAGCTTCAACAAGACTTGTTTTGAGTGTAACTACAATTTTGACGATATCTAGTGGCAGGGACCCAGACATTTTCTAATTCCAAAGAGTAGTTCTCGGTATCAATTCATCGCCTTTTTTAGCACAGTTTGTATTACAAAAGAATGCAAAGAAACACATTGAAAAGTATCCTTTAGAGGCAGAAACAATTCTTAAATCGACATACATGGATGATAGTATCTGTTACTGATTACTGGTATTGAGTTATAAAAACAGTTAAATACAGTTTGGAATTTAACTGGAATGCATGCACGAAAACGGTTATCTAACTCCGAAATACTATTGAAGGAAATCCCAATAAAAGGCATATCTCAAGAAGTAGATTTGGACAAAAGTGAATTTCCGTCAATCAAAACCTTAGGGATTAAGTGGTTATCAAAAGAAGACGTTTTTACATTTAAGTATCAAGCACCTGATGAAAAGTTTGTGTTTATCAAAAGAAACTTCTTAAGAAAGATAGCAACACTATTTGATCTACTTGGACTTTTATCACCCTACACAATGAGAGCAAAAGTGCTCTTACAGCTGATGTGGAACAGTGGGATTAGTTGGGATGAACCGTTGGATCCTAAACAATTTCAACTAGCATCTAAATGGTTACAAGAGTTAAAGGATTTACAATACATAAAATTGATGCATTCAACAACAAAATCAAAGCTTAGTGATACTTTTACTTCATATATTTACAGATGCTTCCGAAACGGAAATGGAGCTGTAACTAATGCAAAATGTCAATATAAAAATTACGAAGTTTCTAATAACCTTATTGCAGCTAAATCATACTAGTTGTAAAAGTGAAAGTGGGAAACAGTGAAGTTAAGCGACCTATATCTCGTGTGTTTATAGGAATGAGAAATTAGTAATGAAATTGAGAAGCCATCAATAAACGATAAAAATTAAGAGTGGCGTCTTTATCTGCATTAAGCTTCCTACGATTAGAAATACTTGGTGCATTTTTAGGATTAAGATTTAGTCACAGTATTGCAGCAACTTATAAAATTGATATTAAAGATGTGACATTCTGGACAGACAGCATGAATGTGATATGGTGGATACATAATCAGAGTAGAAAATTTAAACTTTTTGTGGCTAAGTGAATCGGAGAAATTCATACCAAAATAAACCCAAGTCAGTGGAGATACGTACCAACTGAGGAAAACGCTGCTGATGACATGACAAGAGGTTTTGCAGTATCAGAACTAAAAGAACAAATTAGATGGTGGAAAGGACCAGATTTTCTCGCTGATCAAAAAAATGTTCGGAAAGAAAACTATTAAAACTTGATAACAATAATGTAGAAGTAAAAAAGTCTAAAGCAAATTCGACCTTGTTAGTGCTTGAAAAAGTTTGCGTTTGGGCTGCAACCTCAAAGGTTTTCAAGTTGGATTCGACTTACAAGAGTGCTTGCATGGGTACGCCATCAAAAGCAAGCAGATTCGTAGGAGAACTGATGCCAGAAGAGATCACTGATGCAGAAAATGAATTAATAAAATTTGCTCAAAAAGAGAATTTCGAAGAAGAGTACAGGACACTGTTAACCAAAAAACCGTTACCAACGACTAGTAAAATACTATGTTTAAGACCAAAAATAGATGAGGATGGTGTATTATGATGTGATGGGCGTTTAAAATATGCAGAACATTTGCCCTATGATGCCAGATTTCCTATTATTCTTCCAAGAAAATCAAATTATGGTACCATTACCAAAAATCAGATTAAAAATGCTTTTGCATGCATTTTCAAGAACAGCTGTTGATTTTGGTGGTCCATTTACAACAGTGCAAGGAAGAGGTATGAGAAGAACGAAACGTTATTTGTGCTTGTTTACTTGTCTTACATTACGAGCTGTGAATTTGGAAATTTGGATTAGGATACAGATTCGTTTTTAAACGCGTTTCATAGAATGGTTAATCGGCGTGGCCTTTCAAAGGAAATGATTTCGGATAATGGTACTAACTTTGTTGGAGCCAATAGAGAACTTCAAGAGCTTGTAGCTAGTTTAAATATAGAAAAAATAAAACAATCAACAGCCAATAAATGAGTTAAATGGTTTTTTAACCCTCCAATCTGACCTTATTTTGGAGGAATCTATGAAACCACGATCAAGTCAGTAAAGAAAGCTATATACAGTATTCTGGGTAATGCCGATATTAATAATGAAGAACTGATAACAGCATTTACAGGTGCAAAATCATTGATCAACTTAAGACCCTTAACATGCCAGTCTTGCAATCCTGATGATGATGTCCCTTTAACACGAAATCATTTCTTACATGGTCAAGTTGGTGGCGAATTTGCACCGGAAAACGTTGATACTGAAGATTTTAGCATAAAAACGTTGGCGCAGAATCCAAGAACTTATCCGTCACTTTTGGAAAAGATGGTTACGAGAGTGGCTTCCCACCTTAAACTCTAGGAAATATTGGTTTCTTGAAAGAAGTGATATTCAGATAGGAAATGTTGTTTTAATTATATCACCGGATACACCGCGGGAAAATGGCCATTAGGAAGAATTTTAGAGACGTATCCTGGCGCTGATGGTCATACTAGATGTAAAAGTGGGAAACAGTGAAGTTAAGCGACCTATATCTCGTGTGTTTATAGGAATGAGAAATTAGTAATGAAATTGAGAAGCCATCAATAAGCGATAAAAATTAAGAATCGATGAGCCTACGGCACATCAAAGAGTAGCAGAATGGCGCGGAGGAATTTTAAAGAAAGTTTGGGAATTTCTGGAAACGCAAGCCAATAAATCTTATTGGTTTAACGGGTTTGCTGATTCAGCGAAAGTGATTTCAGAACGTTCTATAGCGATTTTTCTTTGGATAATTTTATTGTCGTTTTGTTTGTTTTACTTTGTTAAATTTAAGTAGGTTTCTGTAGAGAATCTTAATTAGAATATATATATATATATATATATATATATATATATATATATATATATATATATATATATATATATATATATATATATATATATATATATATATATATATATATATATATATATACATATATTAAGTTTATTTTGGTACATTCTAGGAACCAATAAAAAATGTTTAAAAAAAAGTTTATGGGGTATTAAAATTATTAACATTTGAAATCATACAAACAATAATTTAATAAAGTAAAAAAATAATTTATTATTAATTCGAAATAAAATAAATAGTTATTTGCTTACTATGTGAAGTGAAATTTTTTTACGTAATTACGTCTAAACTGATATTAAAATGTTTCGCCAGATTATGGACGTCTAAACTTAATTACTTAAAGCGCGTGAAAATAAATTATTCTTACGGCATTACGGAGTAAGAGAATCATGGAATCAGTGATCTTGGTAATTATATATTAAATGAGATAAATAAAGATAATTTTTTTTTACTATTACTTAATAATAGCTTTTTAATTGGGTTTCTTTGAATTTAAAAAGTTAAAATGCGTTTTGGCGCGACAATCTGAAGTCACGTTGAGTCGTAACCGCTAGTCCATATAAAATCTGCAAAACAATTAAAAAATATATTAAACGTTCATGCGCGAAACCTTTTTTATATTATTTCATTTCGAACGCGAGTTATTTTCAAAGTTTATAAAACAACTTTAAAACATTATGGCTAGGTGTTTTATATTAATACAAAACTTTTTATATTTACAAAACAACCTTACAATATTGTTTTATTGTTGCTTGTACGTTGTTTATGAAGCTTTTTGCAATAACAATTTACGCGTTTTAGTATACGCGTGAGTATACGCGTTAAAAATAAAATCTTATTAACTCGATCAACTGTTAATATGAACGTGGTATAAGCCTGTTGATTTAAACTTTATTGTGTTTGTTCTTATTAGTTAATAAAAAGTTAAAACTTTAAAAATTACTTACAAAAATTCAGCTGCTATAGAAATCCGGGGAAAAAAAGTGTTTAACTTAATAAACATACCTTATGTTTTCTGTGAACTTTTTTTTGCTATATTGCATTTAACCCAATGAAAGGTCTTATCAATCAAAACAACATCTGATAAATAACGATAAACGTTAACAAACCACAGTTTGCATTAATAAGTATTTATTTCTGTTTAAAAACAAATTTTCATTAGGACTGTCACATATTATATTTGCCTTGTAATATTGATTTTAACTTTGTCATTCAAAAAATAATAATACAATGGAAATAGAGCAACTAATATCAAATATATTTAATATAAAGAAGTTTTGTTTTGTACCTCTTATTTAATAAGCTCATTAACATATTTTTTCAATTCGGTAACATAAGTCATAAAAATTTACTTTCGTGAATTTAAGATAAATAAAAGTTTAATAATAACAATATTATTAACTAATAATAATATAATAATAACAAGAATAATAATAAGAATAATTAAAACAGTAGTCATAATAAGAATAATAGCAATAATTATTATTATAATAATAATAGTAATAAACAATAATAATGTTCGTATTTGTAAGCTAACTTAATTAATAGCTTAAAAACTATGTTGCAACAAGTAAACAAAACAAACACTTTTTTTTACGGGAGATACAATTATGAGAATGTATTATGTTATAAAAGGTTTCCTAACATAAAAAAAAATTACTGTTTGAATTTGATATAATACTTAACTATTTAACCCCACGCGCAAAACAAACGATAAAAAATACAAACGATTTAAAAAACAATATAAAAAACAAACGATGTACGCGTCCATAAAAAACAAAGTGCTTAATTAAAACATCAAAAAGAAAACTAAAACTTAATGTAAAATTTTTGAAATCAAAAAATAAAAATGAAAAAAAAATCTAAAAAATTTTTTTTTCGATATTGTATAACAGAAGAAAAAATTAAGTATTTTCAGTCCAAGTCCAATATTCCAAACAACAGTCCAAGTCGTCATTATATCAAATTTAAGCATAAATTCGATATAATGAGGACTTAGATAAACGAAGTAACGGAATAAAAAAAACTAATTTTTGATAATAAAATTATAACAAGTGAAATAAACGTATATCAAGAATTTAGCAAATCTTTTGTTAAAGGAGCCCCCCCCCCCCCCCTCTTTTGTTTCTAATATTTTACAACCAATTAAAACATTCATAACTTTTTGGTAGAAACACCTGCTACAAGTTTAAAGAGTTTAAAGATAACTTGATTTTAATAAAGCAATTACTGAACTTACGCGACAAGTCATAAGACAACATTTCCAGTAATGTAGCTATTTATGTTATGAACAGCATTAGTAGACTTATACTTTATTTAATAGCATTAGTAGACTTATACTTTACTTAAAATTTTCATTTGAAAATAATATATTTCCCGAAAAACTTAAATCAGCTAAAACTTTCATAAAAGGTTATTCCAATAATGCTTCAAACTACCGTTCTTTTCTTTTCCAGAGTTTTTAAAAACATTTGAGAGAATAATTTATAATAATTACTTTACATTAAACATGTTATTATATAAAAACAGTTTTTAAAACAATTGCTTTGCTGAACATGCTACTATCAATCTTAAAAACAAAAATGTCGTTTGATAAACTGTTATCAGGAGTATTTATTGATCTTTCCAAAGCCTTTGATTATCAAAATTATTTTCTAAGCTAAAAAAATATTGCATAATTTAGGTAGATATTTGTCTAACACTATGAACTACTAGAAAAGCTAGGAGCTCTCAATATTAAGAGCGGAGTTGATCAGGATTTAATTCTAAGTCTATTATTATCTTTAATATATATTAAAGATATGCCATTGACCAACCATTGGTAAGTGTCTTAAATTTCTACCATTAAGCGAAAAGATAAGTTATTAGTCTCAAGTGCTTAATAGGGGGAAGACTTGTAGCAACACTTTTTGCATGTTCTAACTATTTTCAGTTAATGTATGTACTTGTAAAAAGGGCAAAAGCTGAAGCCGATGTGTCGAATAAAAGTTAAAAATGCAAGTCAAAAGTTTCCTAATAAATTAAAGATAATTCAAAGACACGCGTCTGTCGTTTCACTTTCATATTCAAAACTTTAATCCTTTTCTAATCGAAAATAAATTTGGGAATCATAAATTATCATAAATTATTCTTTTACAAGTATTCTAATTACCACTTAACACTTTTACTTAAATATTTATAATTAAAATATATTTACTTTATTTAAGAAAAGAAAAGTTTAATAATATTTGTTTACAAATTTAATCCGCTATTTGTAATAATTTGAAAGATCGGCAAAAGCGGCTTCAATTTTTATCATTTATATAATATATCAGTTATATTATTTCATTAACTTCTTGTTTTATTTAAATCTAATATGTTGCTTTTTTGTTTCTCATAACTTTATTTGTTTTTTATTTGATGAAAGATCTGCATAATATTTATATTTAAAATTATTTTTTTGTTTTTCATTTAGGTTAAATTTGAAATATTTACTGTATTTTTTTTTATTTTTAAGTTGATTAAGGTGCCCCAAGAAGTCCTTACGGTCTTATCACAGAGCACCGCGGAAGAGCATTTAATAGGAAGTTCACACCTCCTTCCCAATCGATGTCGCAAAACATGCCCAGAGGTGGGGCTTGAACCACGGATCTTACGTTTCTGAAGCAAGTGCGTTACCACTGCGCCACGGCTGCTCAAATTCGGCATTCTATACTTTTTCGGCATTCTATACTTTTTAATTGTTTAAAATTTAAGTAAAATGAGACTATTCTCAGAGGCAGGTAACATTTTTAATGAAAAAAGAGCTTGTTTGTTTCCCAAAACTGGATAGCAACTCGTTTTGCACCACAATATTCCAAAACTTCTAGAAATCCTTTCATAATTGATTACTGCAATTAAAATTACATTGTGTTTGTTAAGAATTTAGTATTTTTAACTTAGATTTATCTATAGTTCGTTATTGCCCAATAGGACAATGATTTTTGAATTTATTTACACAGTCTGTCACATATTTTTTTAAAAAAGTAAAAAATAAATTCCGGCATTCCGGCCTAAAATATTGTAATTCCGGTATGGAACGGAATTCCGGTACATCCCTAGTATGTACATTCTTTATATGTTCTATCTACTTTTCAGTCGATGTATGAAAAATGAAGAATTAAAGTTTTGCTTGTAACATAATAGGTATAAAACCTTTATGTTACGAACAACTATTTTATTGATATATCGTAAACGTTACGCGCTGTAAAAAAATTTATTTTTTTTAGGGAATTGTGTGCCGAGTCCAACACGAATCAATCTTGGGACAATTAATATTTGTTAATGATATAATTAAAACTTGCCATAAAACATCGTCAATTAAGTGTGCTATAATGTATGCTGTAATTGTATGCATAATGTATGCAGAAATCTCAAAATTATTCTACGGCCACTCCGATTTAAAATATTGTTCAAAAAATTAAACACTGAACATAAAAATTTTAAACAGTGATGTAAAGCAAATAAATTTTTTTTTTTAATTTTTGGAAAAACAAGTTTTACTCTCTTCCATCTTTCGTTAAAGTTGGCAATGATGTCAATCAACAAAAATGAAATAAAGTGAGAAATATAGAAAATTCCTCCCCATTAATAAAATGCAGGAATGTTGTTAATATTTATGTATAAATATAAGAATAACTTGCTGCCAAAACTAGTTTCTAATATTTTTATATGATTGATATTTTATAACGACAAATGAAGTTGCATTTTTTTGATTTCAGCAAATTATAACTGTTTTAACTTATATTTATATAATTCTATATCGTATATATATATATATATATATATATATATATATATATATATATATATATATATATATATATATATATATATATATATATATATATATATATACTACTGATACTAGTTGTATGTTAACATGTTAATTGTATGCTAAAAGTTTAATCGATTTGAATAACTATACATTTTTCACACTTGCTAACTAATTTAGGGGAAATGCGCCTATGATGGCGTACTTAACTTTGAAGCTTCATTATTCACTATTCTGAAGACCAATAGTTAAAGTTTTGATATGGGTATATTCTTTCTCAGAAGTAGAACAATAATAACCCTCGGATTTTTTATCAGTTTTATTTTTTTTTTATAAGTTATTTCTGTTTTAAAAAAAAGCACAAGTATGCCATCATAGGCATACTTGTGCTCCTATGATGGCATAGGGGAGGATAGGCTGGTTTGGATCAAGGGTAACTTGATGATTTCATTTAACCTTAGATTCTTCCCTCAGATAAACCAGAAAATACTGGGAACCATCCTAATTTACCATTTCATGCTACACAGCAGCATTGTAAAGTTTCGCGCATACGCATAGCCCAGCTAACCAATATATATGGGTACCGTATGGGATTCATCTGGTTATGGTATGGTATACATAAGGGTATTTTTGGTGGGATCTGTCTGGGACCCGTATAGAATGAGTTTCCGATTACCAGAAGTTAATATTGAGGCAAATACAAAAAAAATATTCGAAATGAATATGGCTCCTCGCTTAGTTACATGTTATGAGAAATTTATTTAAACAAATTTATGAATTGTTCGTGCATTTATTTATTATTTTATTTTTTCTATTATTTGACGTTTTGATTTGTAAATATTTATCTAATTATTATTTTTGGTTTATGTATTATAAAAATTATTTACGAAAAATTTTTAATTTTCATTTGTTTTTTGTATTTGATGTTTAACAACAAATAATCGATTTTGAAGTTGTAATGCATCAACTAAGTTTTATTGATAAATATTATTTTTTGTGAACATTTGAAATATTTCTACTACCTTTTAATTACTGAACCATAACTAAAATATGGTCACGATCTTATTTATAAAATTAGTTTAAAGAAAACAATCTTAATTAATTAACTTAACGCATGGTCCATGGCATGGGATTTAACGCCTGGCCCATGACATGGACCATGGAAAGGTAGAATAAAGTATTAACAAAATTATTTATTCAAAATAGCACATTGTCAAAGTTACGCATCTACATAATGCGTTCACAAAGTTATTTACAGGAAACAATTGTTTCCTGTAAATAACTTTGTGAACGCATTATGATGTCTTATTGCGTTTATTTAATTAATTTATCCAGAAGTTCTTATTTAAACTTATTTTATAGATTTATACATGATGACAACTACTTGTTTGCAACTACAAATATAAACTATATATATATATATATATATATATATATATATATATATATATATATATATATATATATATATATATATATATATATATATATATACATATATATATATATATATATATATATATATATATATATATATATATATATATATATATATATATATATATATATATATATATATATATATATATATATATATATATATATATATATATATATATATATATATATATATATATATATATATATATATATAGTTTATATTTGATATCAAATATATACTAAATTATATATATTTAATACCATATTTTATAGTTAATATAATATATAATTGATATCATTATTTTGCTTTTTTTTAATGAATAATATATATATATATATATATATATATATATATATATATATATATATATATATATATATATATATATATATATATATATATATATATATATATATATATATATATAATAATTATATATTATATTCAAGCTTTTGTCTTGTTTTATCAGAAATTGTAAAGTCTCAATGAAATTGAATATCATTATCAACAATTGTTTAAAACATAGCGTATTCTAATACGATAAGGCCTATTTATTTAGCAAACAGGAAACTGTTGATATCAAAAAATAAATATATATAAACCAAATATATGTAGGTTTTTAAATATTTTTTGCAAATATATAGTAGTATATATTAACAGTATATAAATACTATTTATAAATACTAATGATGAATCAAGTAAATCTGCAAAACATGACTTAGTTGATTCATCATTAGTTTTTTTAGTTGAAAAACTTTTATTTTTTGCAAAAGATTCCTTCTGGAGAAAATTAAGTACTAAATATTTTTTGTTGCTTTATAAAAAAAGTTAAATTAGAATGTCTTAAAATAACTCACTAATTTTAAAATTATTATGAAATTTCTGTTGATTAGTAATATATAATTTGTTCATCAGACAATGTCTTATAATTATTTTAAATTTTTGTTGTTATGTTTGAGCAATTTTACTTAATCGTTTAGCACCTTAAGCCCCGCTAAAATAATTTTTTCTTTAAAGCATTTGCGTTTCATAATATATTATGAAACAAAAATATATTTACTACCTAATAATATGTTGTAAGTATATATTTTTTAATTTACACAGTTTCAGATTTCAATAATTTAAGAAGTATGACCCACCCTTGTTTTATAAATCAGCAGTTTTACTTATTCAAAATGAGCAGTCCCGGCAGGTAAAAAAAAATTATTAAAGGAATCTCCCATAACTTATATAATTTATTATTTACATATAGTCGCACCATAAAAAAAAAAATTAAAAATGTTGAAAGTTTGATTTACCCTACTGTGTATTTTTTTTTTTCATTTAGAAATTTAAATCTTAAGTATAATATTTTCATAGTTTATTTGAAATGAGTCATTTTTATTCAAAACGTACAAAAAACCGCAAGATAGCTGCTGTAGTTTCAGAAATATTAAGTAGTGCATGTGTGAATATACCTAACTTGCATATATCAACCCTGCATGTTTCTCAAGCAAAAATAATTTGCCAATAAATATGGTGAAAATGTCAAGTTCAACTGATCCAATTAGTTTGCCAATATCTGATGTGACAAGTTCTGATAATAACCTCAATAGTTAGCTTGTTGATTTATATAACTCTCAAGAATATAATGACTTTCCAGAATCTGCTTCTCAAATTGATGATGACAGTGATGATGATGATGATGATGATGATGATGATGATGATGATGATGATGATGATGATGATGATGATGATGATGATGATGATGATGATATCAGTGATGGGGAGAATAATAACTTTACTGAAGAACTCACTGAAAGTGAAACTTTAAAAGATAAGTTAGTTTCTTGGGCAGTAAATTTTAACATCTTGGTTTTTTGAACAAGCTACATTCTGATTTGCCAAAAGGTTGGTTAGTACTGCTAGAAATATTAACATTAGGGTGGTTCAAGTTTAGGTCAAAAAATTTTTAAAACTAGAGTGGAAGTTCATAAGGTGCACAGACCCTTGTTTTATATGTAGGATTTTTTTTTTTTTTTTGAAGTTTAAGGGTGGCACACAACCCAAAAGTACTTTTTTTTACCTTTTTTATGACGTTTTTCAACCCGCGTGTGCCACCCTTAAACATTATTAAATTCAAATTTTTTTTTTTTTACATATTTTTGCAAGGACCTATACAAAAAAATAAAAAGGCACTTTAACTCAATTTATTTTTTGAAAACTTAAAAAATGTCCTTTAAAAATGCCTAAGAACAATTTTTCTTTTCAAATATAATGAATTTTTTTATTATTTCACATTGAAATATTTCAATGATCTTATTGTTCAAATGTAATAATCATACTCAATGTTCAACATCTGCTATTCTGATAACATTAAACAAAATTTATTAACGTTAGTAAAGTGTTTATTTTGAAAAATCAATTTTATTATAATTTATTTACATAAAATAAAAAGTAAAATAAAAAATTATGCCGAAAATTCTTAAAAAAATGAAAAATAGAGGCCAAGAAATATTCTTAGTTAAAAAAACTAGAAAGACTCTATCATCTATTCAATTTGCAACTGTAGAAGAAGTTATACAGTACTATCTTTACTTACGTGATTCCAAACCATACAAACAGTCCAACTTATCTCAAAAACTTAGTTTGTTGTCTAAACAAAGGTTTTACATTTACACCGAACTGTCCAGATTATGGAGAGAACTGCTGCGTTATATCTAAGCTGAAAGTTTCATAGGAACTTGGTGGATACAGAACTCGTGACATATAATGCGTTTTACGGTTAGTAATATTTATGAAATCTTAATCTAAATTAGCTTTACAGTTATTTAATAAGTCTTATTTTTAGGAAAAAAGTCGAGGCTGTAGTAATGAAATATAAAAAGCTGCAATCGCTAAGAAACAGATCAACACCATAAGCAATAAAAGATAGAGAGAACTTCTTAATAGAATCTAAAAGGGTATTCTGGTAAGGACATGACATACAAATCATGATTGATGAAATAAAAATGGATAGAAAAAGAACTGAAGAAAGTAAATGTATGGACATTATGTTCTTAAAGATGCAGAAGAAAAAAAGACAAGGTTGTCTAGGCATTTCTGATACCTGCTTCAAAAAGTCTGCAAAAAGATCTGAAAAAAACAAATTTAAAAAGGAATCATCAGGAAAAATATGAGATTTAGATACAACTTATAGCTCAGAAGGTGATGTTAGTGATTTTTCTTGAAGCTCAGAATGCCTCGAGTCTGTTACAAAAGAGTCAAATGATGATTCTCATAAAGAAGACAAAAGTTTATTACTGCCTAAAGATGTTTTAAAGCGTACAGCACTAACTGATGTAGGAGGAGGTCTTTCTATCAATTAGTATACTGTTATCATAAGCAGTGTTATAGCTTATGAGGAGGAGAAATAAATAAATTTGTTGTGTCCAAATCATCATCTCTTTGAGCTGTAGATAAAGTAGTAAATTCGGAAGCTCAAAAAATTAGACAGTATATAAAAGACTTGACTGACTCCAAATATAAGGTGACTTCTGTTCACTTTGACAGGAAAATATTTAAAGAATATATAGATAACGTTTCAGTTACAAGAGAAAGATTAGCAGTACTAGTGAAAGTGAATGGAAAAACTGAGCTCCTAGGTATTCCTCATATTGATTCAGGTTCTGGGGAAAATCAGTCCAAAGCAGTTTTTAATCTATTAGGTTCTTTCCGCCTTAGTGTATATGCTTTGATACTACAGCTTCCAACACTGGAAAGCACCAAGGAGTTATAACAAGAATGGCCAATAAGCTAGGAAGGCCACTACTTTTTCTTGCCTGTAGACATCATATATTGGAAAGACATATTACCCACTTTAACAAGATATATCCCAGCAGTAAAACGTCTGGTCCAGAAAACCAGCTCTTTAAACACCTGAAATCTGTCTGGAGTGATCTTGAAAAAGACATTGTTACATTAAAGAGGATTGAAACTCCAAATGGAACTTGGATAAATAAACAACATCTTGAGGCTGAAAAATTCTACAGAGATGTAATAGATGACAGGATCTACAAAAAGGTTAATTACAGTTTTGTAGTAGCTTGCTTAAAATAACTTAATCTGTATACACAATCATAATAAAATAAATCATAATCATAAAAATAAAAAATCTTTTATTTTTAGGATGGTAAATCAAGAAAGGATTATCAAGAGTTAGCGGAACTATCTTTGATGGTAGTTTCTCAAAAAGATAGGTTAAAATTTCGTATTCCTGGTCCAATACATCATGCAAGATTCATATCAAAAGCGTTGTATTATCTCAAAATGTATTTACTATTGGAAGCTATTCCAAGTTTATCAGAAGAAAATAAAGAGGAAATTTGTGAAATGGCTATATTTGTCATTTAACTTTTTCAAAAAAATATATGTTCTAAAAGAACATATATTTATCTAGAGTACAGTCCATTAATTACATCAACAAACTTTTGGCAATTTTTACATTACCCCTTCCCCCATGTCAACAATTTGTTAAATTTCCAGAGACACTTCCTTCCCCTAAATAAAGACTCTGCGCAAAATTTTTTTTTTTTGAGTAATGAAATTAAAAAAAATAAAGCAAAATTGTTGATGCCAACTTTACTTGACCTCCTCCTCTCACCCTTAGCAAAAATTTTCAAAAAAATTTAGACACCCCCTTCCTTATTTTTTTGACGTTATTAATGGACAGCCCGTAGACGAAAAAATTGATATATTAAGAACGCTAGGTAGAACACTTTTATTTACAGTTGTAAGTTATAGTTACATTTATTGTACTTCCAGCATGACACCACGCATGGAGGAAAGCAAGTGGTATCAGCTCTTGATATTTTCTGTTGAGTATTCAGTAGTACTTGTAGATCCAATTCCAGATGAGGATCAGTTGAATTTTGATCCTGATAACCCTCACCTTTGGGGAACATCTGTTCCAGCTGTATGCGCTTTAATGACATCAAAATCCGAGGCTCTATACAAGCTTGTTTTTTCCAAAATAAAAGAAGTTTTAAATTCCCTCCAGTCACCATTATGTCAGATTTTGAACGAGGACTACAAAATGATTTAAAAACAACTTGGAGTAAAAGCTTGGTGAATGATTGCAGGTATAAGTTATTACTTTGTTATTACTTAGTTTCTAAGTTATCCAAGTTTTTCAGAGTTTTCTATCAATTAATGATCTCCTTTAAACCCTTATCTTTAGGTTTCATTTCGAAAATGCAATCACCAAGCAATTAGCGATTCTTCAGAGGGAATACCACCACCAAATTCAAGTAAAAATATGGGCACGAAAAGTTTCAGTACTTTGTCTCCTTCCTGCAAACAAGATCTTGGTTGCTTGGGGATCTCGAGTTATTAAGATTGCACAATTTAGTCACGAAATCATAATCAAACTACTTGCTTTTATAAGGTATTTTGAGAGGTATTGGCTCAATATAGTGACCCCAGAAGGATTTAGTGGTAATGGCTTGAACCACAAAACCAATAACAATGCAGAAAGTCTCAATAGACGTCTGAAATCAAACATGAGTGATCGACATAGAGGATTTTGGCAGTTTATGAAATTGCTTAACCAGCATGTAATTGTCCATACAATTCAAGAGCTTCAACAGCTTGTTTGCAATCAGCCAGTCTGCCGTGACTAAAACTCCGTCCCGAAGTTTGGACAACTGAGAGATTCCTATCAACAGTATCATATCTCTTTCAAAACTTCAAAGTCGTGTAAAATAATTTTCCAAGTTTTTGTATAACACTTCTTATTTATTAACCTTTATTAATTTTTTTACCAAACTAATTAGTTTAACTTTATTTGAAAATCTGTTATTTTCCATGAAATATGGAAAATTGTATTTGAAGTTTTTAAATATTTTTAGTGCTTTGGATGAAAACTCAATGAACGAGGTTGGTGAGAGTCTTCCTTTGCCACCTTCCACTTCAACAGAGCCACATCAATGAACGAAATGCAATAGTAATGCCTTGCAGACATTTTTTGTTTTGTCAGCCTTGCATTCAACAAGTCCAAAAAAGCAACACAACTTATTGTCCCACTTGCCGAGGACCAATATCATCCATAATTGAACTTTTTCAATGATTCAGTAAAAATTTTCCCTTTGCCTATATTTTAAAAACTAGAATGTCACACAATTGTTTAAATTTATTAGAAAAATTATAGAATTTATTATATAAAAGCGGTATTAATTTTTTTCCTCTTGCTCCGCCTGGAATAAAAAATAATCAATAACGTAATTTTTTAGTTTACATAAATGACTTTAAATTCCATTTGGGCCTACAAGATTTTCCGTTAGTTGGCGTATTGTATTGGTTTCAGTTGAGCAAACCCCATATTACGTTAAGGATAAGTACTGAATAAATTCCATCTCCCTAGAAACAATAGTCATTTACATGTTAAAGTTATTGTATAGATAAATGTAGCATAAAATTCTACAGCTGCTTGTCTAGTAAAATTAAATAAGTTTCCTTGAAGCAAGTGTCAGTATCAACAAAAGACTTATAGTGAGAGTTGCTATGTTACGATTAGCACTCGTGTGCACAAGCGTGTTAGAAGCAAATTTTTGTGAAAACCATATGCTGAAAATATTTCCTTTCCAAGATATAACACCTAATAGGTTGTATAAAACACAGACCCAGATTTTACAGACCAGCACAAAAAAGGTTTTTTTACCCTAAATTTGCTTAATAATAAATATGCATTTTGTTTAAAGAGTTGCTATTGACATAAATTTTCTATTAAAAGCAAGTTTCTATTAAATTTATCACGTTCTTACTGTTGGTAGGGGTGGGGAGGGGGGAGGAGATAATCGTGAGCGATTGACATTCTTTTTTCACCAAATGCTCTTAGTTTCACGCTATAAAAATTGATTAAGATTTGCTATTCTTGACCACAATTTTCTCCGAAACGACCAACCCAACCTAAAAATTTTTACGATATGGGCTTGTATATTTATAGAAGGTTATTGATTGTACTTTTTATAAAAAGTACAATCAATGACCTTCTATACATAAAATAAATTTTTAGAAGATTAGTAAATTTACTAATCTTCATATATTTTATTCCTTACAAAATTTTTTATGAATGTACTTTGCGAATAATATATTAACAAATATAATTGAACATGGGCTACGGCATGGGGGTATACTCACATTGGCTACGTCATGGGGGAAGGAGTCAAGGAGGCGTTTTCCCTCCCTCTCTATGAGAGTTTATAGTAATTTTGTTTTTTAAAAGTAGATTTTTAGTAGTTCTTTTTGGAATTTTATGTTTTGCTTACATAAAATATTTAGTTAACATTCAACGCAGTGAGCCTAAAATCATTATGTTAAAAAATCACTAAAGGGCAAATGTTGTCAAGCATTTAAACAAAGGCGATCTTTTTTATTATTTCCAAAAGATTTCACTAATATTTATAAGATACAACACGTTATCTATGATAAAAACAACATGCTGTTGCAGATGATAAACAACATTATTTATAACTGCGTCGCTTGGATTTCATTTACAATTTAAGCGGATAAAGAAGCCTAAAAATAAGTAAAGTTTGAACTGTACTTTATGAAGTGCACCACCACTTTTGTAAAATATAATGTTCATAGTTTTGTCATTAACATGGATTTGTGAGTTTTATCATACTTCGCTTTAACGCGTTGCAACGCGTAAAATCAAAATATGATAAAGCTCAGGTATAATGTGACTCTTCGTTCACATTTCCATGTTAACGACAAAACTATTTGCATGATATTTCATAAAATTGGTGGTGCACTTCATAAAATAGAGTTCAAAATTTACTTATTTAGGGTTTGAGCCATTTCTGAAAAATTTTCAGAATTTTTTTTTGCTCATTGTACCAAGTTTAACGTCATGGCTCCCGGCCCTAAATGTGAGAAATGTTTCTTTATAGATTTTTACATATATTCTTGATATTTATAAATGTAAATGAATCTTTACTCTGACAGTTTGAAAAAGGTCTTTTTCTTTAACTTGAGTTAATTTTTGTAGTTTGAACAGAGTTTTTTTTACTCTTGGACCAATTTGCCCCAAAATGGGAAAACGGGCTTTGTATAATTTTACATTTTTACCATATTGTCCTGAATGGGCAATTGGGCCAAGAACAATCAAAGTTTTGTAGAAAAAATTAGACCTAATATTTTTACGTATTTTCTTGTTATTTATAAATGTTAATGAAATTGTTTGCTCTGACCGTTTGAAAAAGCTCTATTTCTATATCTAAAGTTAATTTTTACAGTTTTAACGAAGCTTTTATAGCTTTTGATCCAATTGCCCCAAATGGGTGAACAAAAAGTGGAATTCTTACCTAGGGGCCCCTAATATGAGAAAGATAATTTGTAGAATTGAATGCTTTTGTAAAAAAAAAAAAAGAAAAATAATTCAGCATAAGTACTTCAATGAAACTCCTTCTTGATAGCATATGAAAAATAAATTTATTATCAAAATTTAGTGCCATAAATCCTTAAGAAAAACTCAACAAATCTTGACGCAAAATAGGCGTTATTGAGCCCAACATAGATTGTCATAACTTGGAAACCAGTTATCCAAATTTAAAAAACGAACACTTTCTGAAAGCTTCTTCATTATCCGTATATTTTGGTATTAATTATAAGAGATGATTGTAATAGTAAAATCGTGTAAAGTACCTACTGTAAATAAAACCAATACATTTTGTTTTGAATCGTTTTACAAATAGCCAACAACACAACATTCAATATTTTTTGTTCTACTAATAGAGCTTTTTGTTTATATTGTATTAATTATACAGCTATACAGTGTAATTACTACACTTTTGTTAAAAACCGCAAAAAAGCGCAAAAAACTGTCTATTTATTCTGCTTTTGACATTTTCAAACCTATTACTTTTTGACCTTTTCGATATTATTCTGGAAAGTTCTTTTTCGATTTTATTTTTTTTTTCACAGTTTCGATATAATTCCGGAAAGTCCCGTTTCGATATTATTCTCTTTTGAGCTGTTTCAAGATTATTCTGCTTTTAGGATTTTCGATACTATTCCTTTTTTAACAATTTTGAAATGTTTTCTTTTTCTATATTATTCTGAAAAGTCCCTTTTCGATATTATTACTTTTTTCACAATTTTCGAGGTTATTCTATTTTTCGGATTTTCGATACAATTCCTTTTTTTACAATTTCGATGTTATTCTCTATTTCGATGTTATTCCGGAAATTCCCTTTTCGAAATAATTCAGTTTGGCTGTTTTCGATACTGTTACTGCTGCCCTTTTTTACATGTCTACATGTTATTTATAACAAGCAGCAACAAAAGCTAGCGCGATCATTGAAATAAAGAAAATCGATTTTTTGTCAATATTAGCGACTTTTCTATAAGTTTTTCAGTGTTGAAAAAAAAAATACGAATAGAGTGCAATACCGCAAAGCATTAATTTAGCTTTAACAAATTATTGATAGGGGGTTAATTGTTTGTAAAATTAGATGTTTTAAATATAATTACTTAAATCTGTGTAACCAAAACTTCATAAATCTTATTTAAAAAAAAATTTGTTTATAATTTTTTTTTAATATTGTATTAAAAATATGAAATAGTTTTAATTTAATAAATCTAAGAAATAAAAAATGTTCCCGTTCTTTGTTTACGTTAAAAAATGTTTACTTTTTAAAAACTGTTTACTTTTTTTATTTTATCGAAGTTTTTTTAAAAGTAAAGAATTACCGTCATAAATAAAAGAAAAAAATCAAAGTCATTTTTATAAATAAAACAAAATATTTGCATAACAAACTGCAATCATTTTAAAAGAAACGGTTGTTGCAAAAATATAAAACATAAAACTAAAAAAACGTGTTTTATTTTTATTTATTTATTATTATAAAACTAAATAATGGCGAGTAGCCAAAAAATGCAGCATTTTAATCTGGTTCCTAAAAAAGAAATTAAAAATACTTCATCATGGTGAAGTTGGTCGTAATAATAACAAACTGCGTGGTTTTACTGAAAATGCGCTTGCGAAAGTGAAGACTTGTGGATTGTGACTTGCAAACCAAGCATTGTGACTTACAATGCAAGGTAAGTCACAAACTAAATTTACAACTCAGTT